TACCTGAGTCTCCCACACTGGTGAAGGGTCTTGAGTCCTTCCTGCTTGTGACCGGGTCGTGACAGGATGTGCCTCAGAGTTGTAGGATGGAGTAAATGCTGAAGGCATGGGGCCCAAGTAATTTCCCAGTAAAACCTCAGCTGGCAAGTTGTCCATGATTCCTACCCTCACGAGTCCTTTCCCCGCACTCCAATCCAAATGCACTTTTGCCGTTGGTAGTTTGTAGATGTCCCCTCCAGCCACCCTGACGGCGACGGTGTCTGTAGAGCGCTTATGTTCTGGAACCAGTCGGCCTTGTACCAGGGTGATAGTGGCCCCGGTGTCTCTTAACCCCTGCGTGGGGAGGCCTTCCAGCAATACCTCTTGCCTGTGGTGCTGCCGGTTGTTGTTTGCGGCATACACAGTGTTGGCTTCATGGAGAGGTTTCAGATATTCTTCCAGAGGGTTTTCCTTTTCCACACAGAAAGCGCGAGCTGGGCGGCTATTGCCCGAGGGGAGTGAGTTGCAATTTCGTGAGGGGTAGTTGTTGTTGAGGGGGCAGTTAGCGATGAGGTGCCCTGGCTGCTTGCATTTGATGCAGGAGGGACGGGAGCGTTCTTGGGTGTAGTGGCTGGGTGGTCCGGTGTATCGTGTAGGTCGCACTGGCACACGCGTATGAAATTCAGTTTGCGGGCTGGTTTGGTACATGTCTCTCGGTTCAGTACGTGTCACCGTTCGGGAGTTGTTGAATTCCTGTATCTGAGCGTCTCAGTGTTCGTCCGCCAGTCTCGCTGCTTCGTTGAGATCGTCGGTCCTTAAACCACTCTCTGTCTTTCTGTTCTAGTCCATCATAAAAATGCTCTTATAAAAATAGTTCCAAAATTTCTGTTGCAGTGACTGCCCAACATCCGTTAATCCAATGGGTAGCAGCCCTCCGCATTCGGTGCGCCCATTCGGCATGGGTGTCATTTGTTTTTTTTCTTAGTGTTGCAGAACTGCCTTCGGTACGTGTTGGGGTTCACCGCGTACCGTTTCAGCAAAGTGTCCTTCACAAGCGGGTATTGGGCCACCTCCTCGGTGCTAAGGGTCATAAAGGCCTCCATCGCTCCCCCGGCTAGTTTCCCCGTCAGGATACGAGGCCATGCTGCTGTGGGGATTTGATGAAGCGCACATTGC